GGTTTAGTTACTCTTGGTTGCTTCTAGAAGACTCGTCTAGACTGGGTCATCATCATCATATACCGTGTATTACCAGTAATTTATCGTCACATTACCTTAAACCCACAGCGCAGAAAGCACATCATATATTTGACTCAGAAAAGTCCATACCATGTTGAAAGGGAGGTACGGACGTGAGCGGGAAAACTGTATTAAGAACCAAAAGTGGCTTGGTTAACATTGACAAGTGGCTCTCCGTTTAAACATTTCAGCGTGAATGGGAGGTTTTTGTCCGGCGAGTGAATGATCTCCTGTGATCTTATCTCCGTACCAACAATCAGTTAATCTCAGACCGAGTTCAGCGCAAAAAGACGGTCCGGCCGAAGTTTCTGTGGTCGATTTTCCGCTGCGGAATCTCCGGTGGGAGCGACTTTGTCCGTGTGACCCCGCAGCAGGACGGGTTTTGTGTCGGGATGGGACCCGGAGAAGAAAGGGGGATGTTCCCTGCCCGGATTCCCACGGTGCAGCCATTCACGCACCGTCCCGCCTCTCTACACGCCTGTCTTCTCTACACAGAAACAAAAAAAACTCGCCTCCTCTTCAGATCGGCTTTCTTTTGAGGCAGATGAAGCGTATCTGGCTGTAGGAAGATCTGTCTTATCCAGAATAAAAATCATTGTGTCCAGAACCGCGATTAATCCAGAACCTTACTCAGGCAAGGTTCTGGATAGTCCATGCGCATTCAGAACCGTGCGAGGGGCAAATCTACGTTCTTGGATACGTGGAGACTATACAGAACCGAGCCTGATCCTAACCATCACCATTGAGATTTAACAGACCTCCTAATGCCCTAACTCATTCAGGCATAGACCTAGATGGGCACAGTTCAGGATACAATAAAGAACCTCCGCCTTGGGACGATCCGTTACGACGTCTGACGTTTTGATCACTTCATTCATCTTCAGCCCTTCTCTCCAGGGTGCTGTGAGGTTCATCATGCTTTGTTTTACCTGTCAGGACCGCTTCAGGATCGCCTCCGTGTCCCTTTGACGAGTCCTGCTCTCAGAACCGCCTCCCAGGAGGCAGGAGTTTTCCCATATGAAAATCTCATCCAGTCATTAATCTGAGATATCAACCTGTCTGTGGGGTCGTGTGGCGGAGCGGCAGAGTGCGCGACTCGGAACTAAGAGTCCCGGGTTCGAGTCCTGACATGCCACCGATCTTGTGCCCTTGGGAAAGGCACTTTACGCGGCTTTCCTCACTTAGCTCAGGTGTAAATGACTATTGTCCTGTAATGTATTTGTCCTCTGCGTTGGTGGCGGCATTAATATAAGTTGAAAAAACTTGAGTGTGTCGTCACCACGTCTGGTGATTACATGTTGGACTAAAAAAAACTGTCTGCTGGTCTGAGACTCTGGGTCTGAAGGAACCTCCTCGCTTGATATAAACTGGTCTCCAAGCCGAGGTTTGGCTTTGGCGTATTTTTGGCGTGTTTTAGGGTTTTCATTGGGCTTTCTTTTTTGCACTGGTATCTTTTGTTTTACGCCAACCCAAAGTTAAAGAAATCCCGAAAAAAAAACTAAAAATATGCCAAAAATAAGCCAAAACCCAAACCTCTGTTTGGAGAGTCGATTTAAACTGGTCCCTTTAGGCGACCCTTATAATGTAACAACCTTACGAACTCATCAGTCACAAACCACAATTACATATAAGCACTACTGTGCCCTCTGGAAGTACAAACACTAGTACAGGTAGTAAGTTATACAGTTTAATACTCACTTGGGTGCATCGTTTGGAGCATAATCCACTCAACGTTTGGCAATCCCTATAATTTCACAGTACTTCTTAGCCGGAATCCCCCCATAACATGGTTACTTTCTTCACTTTTATCTAAAGCTTGCTATCATCTCACTCGTTACTGAGTTATATGGACTGCACACTTTATTTCTCGGTGGTATACCAGTCTGTTTATGGTATAAACTGAGCGAGTAAGCAGGTATCTTTTGCTACAATATGTTATGTTGGTGGGTACAGGGAGCTCTAAGTTTTACTGAGCACATTTTGTTTTATGTGCACACATACTATAGCTAGTAAAATAAATTCGATTGTTTCTTTATTCCTCGCTGGTTCTTAAAACACGAGACCCCCAGATACTGCTACCAGCAAATCTTATACACCAGGCAATAGGTCAAAGGTCATATCGTTTAGCATGTATCACGGCTTGCCGATCGTGCAGTTCACGTAAGTTTTCCCAGGTGGCGCTCATCAATGGCTTACCAATCCCCCCTCCCCCTAAGGACAACCTGTCAGTCAACAATGAGAAAACAAGACTTTTGAAAAAAGTTTATCTCGGCCGCTGGCCATGTAGTTTTGTGTTCTTGGAGGATGTCCACATAGATTTGTGTAACTGCTAGAGAGGAAAGAATGTATTACCTAGTATGTTCATACCTGTAACACCAAACAGGGTAATAAGTTGGCTTCCATTATCATTTGCTTCAATGGAATTAGTGAAAAATGATCATTGCTAAATACAATATAACGTTAAGTATATGTAACCACT